TTTTGTCTTCTGTTCGACCCTCTTTGGAGTTGAAACTCTGTTGAGGCAACAAACTAAATAAATAAAAACAAACAAACATAACGAAGTAACTATCTATAGTTCCCATCTACATGTATATGCAGCAGTTCGGCATGATTCATTTAATTTGTGCCTTTAGTCTTACTCGCATCCATGGTGTTCGCCAAAATCATGTGCATTGTACTAGTACAAGTCATGTACATGTACACTGAGTGTACATTACTGTGGCGAAAGCCAGTGAGTGACTGTATAGTGTACATGTATGTCCTCAGTTGACTATCACACTCACCTGAGGTTCTCTCCGCTCTTAGGTAATGTCCGCACATCAGAATACGCTGCTTCTCCGCCAAGTACAGACCGTACCCGGGGCCGTAGGCAAACTTGGACAGTGCCTTGATGTCGTCGGTGATGTCCTGTGGCTGCGACCAGGTCCTACCACCGTCCAGACTCTTCTTGACAAACTGATAGGGCACGGCGCACTTGTGGAAGCACTCTACCCAGCCGAACCACAATACCCCTGTGCTGCTGTTGCTGGAACCGCCCCCGGACGTGGTCATACCATTCTCAGACGTAGACGGCTGGAACACAGCCGAGCCTGGATTGATACCATCTCCGTGGCTGATGGTTGTGGCGTGCGTGACATTGGTCACAAGGTATGGATCTGACCACGTCTCTCCGCTGTCTTCTGAGCGCTTCATGAAAATCTTCCGTCCGTGATAGTCGCTGCAGGAGCCGTAGCGCGCCCCGCCGAACGCCAGCAGGACGCCATCCGGTAAGGTGAGGAGGATGGGTGTTCGGACACATGCTGCACCATCATCTCCCTTCTTGTACACGACTACCTGTTGGATTGGGTCCGGGTCATTCAATCCCTGTGATCCCGGTGCGGCCGGTTGACGTGCTGCGCAGATCAAAGACACTGTAAAACCTACGCTCACCCAGACTGCACACGCCTGTGGGCGCCAATGATGGGCTGGCATCGTCACCGCGATGCTCAGATGTGTTTACTCTCTCTACTTACACCAGCCTTGGAAACGATGAAAAAGTATCAGTTGTAATTCATTGGACAATTATGATGGTAGTGCTTCTCACGGTATTCGAATCAGGCATGCCGTCTCGTCTCACATGATTGGCTGCTGACAGATTCTGGCCGATATCCGCTGCGTGTGCTGATGATCAAGCCCATTATACATGTATGTGTGTTCAAACTATCACATTGTACTGGTTCTACTACACAAGTGAGTGCTCGGACCTGTAGGCTGTAGGCTGTAGGCTAGTAAAAACTTAAAGGGGAAGTTAAGGCAAAAATTAAAATTTCACCAGTTGTAGTCTTCGGGGTGCTGAGTCGAATGGTCTTAGTCCGAGAAAGCTGAGACGCTCCCTTCCTACTTGAATCCCAATCGAACTCGCGCACTTCCACCGAAACTGGGTGACTGCGCCCTACTAGATGGGGATTTGTATGCAAAATGTCACTAAAAGCGCCATTTCGTTCTTATAAAAGCACGGATGACCGCGATTGGCCCATATGTTGTAGTCTTTTGGACGCTGAGTCGACTGGTTTTGGTCCGAAAAGGCTGCGATGCAGCGTTCCTCCTTTATTCCCAATCGAACATGGTTGAACAAGCGGTCACGTGCTCCTGCGGACACCAGTCACCTGGTCACCGTGCCTGCAGGGTACAACCAAGACTATAATTATGGGTTATGTACTCTTGGTACAACCAAGAGTAGATAAACAAGAGTGTGCAACTCCGGATCTCTCCTGCACAATCTGCAGATACCCCGCGCCCACGGCGGAATTTTTTGTTTACGTCACCTTTTTTCAGAGAAACGCGGATTTTGCCGCAGAGCAGTGTGAGAGCACGTGCTGGGCACCGACCTTGTAGTGTAAAGCCCAGCCAAGTGCACGAGGAAAACTCTCCAAAAGGCTCGCAGCGCGTGCGTCGTCGAAAAGATTACGTCAACAAAAAATTCCGCCGTGGGCCAACCCATCCGCGAGTTGCACACTCTTGTTTATCTACTCTTGGTACAACTTACTAGCCTGTTTGACCTTTTTTGGGTGCAGTCCTGTCACTCGAGTTGAACTCGAAGTTGAACCTTGGTGTGAAAGTTGTCGCCTGCTGGCGTGGTGACCAGGTGATTTGGGCAACCAGGAGCACGTGACCGCTTCTTCAACCATGTTCGATTGGGAATAAGGGCCGGGTTCCACTGCGGCTCGGCGGCTCCGCTGCTCCGCGGCACTTGGCTGCATGCAGCGGAGCAGCGCGGTTCCACTGTCACTCGCCATTCGCAGTACCGCGGTCGTGGTCCACACTTTTTGATGACGTTTCACCTGCCTGCGCGCGCGAAATCAAACAAATCCTCGTGTTCTGGCCTGCGCAACGGATTAAAATTTGAATTTTAAAATTCTGGCGTACAAAACAATGCAAAGTACAGGAAACAGGTCGAGCCGCGACCGCGGCTCGCAGTTTTTGGTCAAGAATCGTAG